GTGTTCAGATTTTAATACCAGATAAATCTAGAAGGAAAACCATGGACAAAAAGTCCAACCTCGTAAAAATCGGATGAGATTTGGCCGAGTTATGGGGCTGAGAAGTTTAGAACCATGTCTAGAGACGAATCTTGGGGTAAGATTTTGACATGAATTTCGACAAAAAAATCGGTGTTCAGATTTTAATGCCAGATTAATCTATAGGGAAAACCATGAAGAAAAATCCAAACTTCGTGAAAATCGGATGAGATTTGACCGAGTTATGGGGGTGGTCATATTTGACCCATGTCTATATATGAATCTTGGGGCAAGATTTTGACATGAATTTCGACCAAAAAATAGGTGTTCAGATTTAAATGCCAGATTATTCTAGAGGGAAAACCATGAAGAAAAAGTCCAACCTCGTAAAAATCGGATGAGATTTGGCCGAGTTATGGGGCTGAGAAGTTTATAACCATGTCTATATATGAATCTTGGGGTAAGATTTTGACATGAATTTCGACCAAAAAATTGGTGTTCAGACTTTAATGCCAGATTAATCTAGAAGGAAAACCATGAACAAAACGCCCAACCTCGTAAAAATCGGATGAGATTTGACCGAGTTATGGGGGTGGTAAGTTTTGACCCATGTCTATATATGAATCTTGGGGCAAGATTTTGACATGAATTTCGACCAAAAAATCGGTGTTCAGATTTTAATGCCAGATTAATCTAGAAGGAAAACCATGGACAAAAAGCTCAACCTCGTAAAAATCGGATGAGATTTGACCGAGTTATGGGGGTGGTCATATTTGACCCATGTCTATATACGAATCTTGGGTAAGATTTGGACATGAATTTCGACCAAAAAATCGGTGTTCAGATTTTAATGCCAGATTAATCTAGAGGGAAAACCATGAAGAAAGAGTCCAACCTCGTAAAAATCGGATGAGATTTGGCCGAGTTATGGGGCTGAGAAGTTTATAACCATGTCTATATATGAATCTTGGGGTAAGATTTTGACATGAATTTCGACCAAAAAATCGGTGTTCAGATTTTAATGCCAGATTAATCTAGAGGGAAAACCACGGACAAAAAGTCCAACCTCGTAAAAATCGGATGAGATTTGGCCGAGTTATGGGGCTGAGAAGTTTAGAACCATGTCTAGAGACGAATCTTGGGGCAAGATTTTGACATGAATTTCGACCAAAAAATCGGTGTTCAGATTTAAATGCCAGATTATTCTAGAAGGAAAACCATGGACAAAAAGTCCAACCTCGTAAAAATCGGATGAGATTTGGCCGAGTTATGGGGCTGTGAAGTTTATAACCATGTCTATATATGAATCTTGACATGAATTTCGACCAAAAAATCGGTGTTCAGATTTTAATGCCAGATTAATCTAGAAGGAAAACCATGAACAAAACGCCCAACCTCGTAAAAATCAGATGAGATTTGGCCGAGTTATGGGGGTGGTAAGTTTTGACCCATGTCTATATATGAATCTTGGGGCAAGATTTTGACATGAATTTCGACCAAAAAATCGGTGTTCAGATTTTAATGCCAGATTAATCTAGAAGGAAAACCATGGACAAAAAGCTCAACCTCGTAAAAATCGGATGAGATTTGGCCGAGTTATAGGGCTGAGAAGTTTATAACCATGTCTAGAGACGAATCTTGGGGTAAGATTTTGACATGAATTTCGACCAAAAAATCGGTGTTCAGGTTTTAATACCAGATTAATCTAGAAGGAAAACCATGAACAAAACGCCCAAACTAGTAAAAATCAGATGAGATTTGGCCGAGTTATGGGGGTGGTAAGTTTTGACCCATGTCTATATATGAATCTTGGGGCAAGATTTTGATATGAATTTCGACCAAAAAATCGGTGTTCAGATTTTAATGCCAGATTAATCTAGAAGGAAAACCATGGACAAAAAGCTCAACCTCGTAAAAATCGGATGAGATTTGGCCGAGTTATGGGGCTGAGAAGTTTAGAACCATGTCTAGAGACGAATCTTGGGGTAAGATTTTGACATGAATTTCGACCAAAAAATCGGTGTTCAGATTTAAATGCCAGATTAATCTAGAAGGAAAACCATGAACAAAACGCCCAACCTAAAAATCAGATGAGATTTGGCCGAGTTATGGGGGTGGTAAGTTTTGACCCATGTCTATATATGAATCTTGGGGCAAGATTTTGACATGAATTTCGACCAAAAAATCGGTGTTCAGATTTTAATGCCAGATTAATCTAGAAGGAAAACCATGGACTAAAAGCCCAACCTCGTAAAAATCGGATGAGATTTGGCCGAGTTATGGGGCTGAGAAGTTTATAACCATGTCTAGAGACGAATCTTGGGGTAAGATTTTGACGTGAATTTCGACCAAAAAATCGGTGTTCATGTTTTAATACCAGATTAATCTAGAAGGAAAACCATGAACAAAACGCCCAAACTCGTAAAAATCAGATGAGATTTGGCCGAGTTATGGGGGTGGTAAGTTTTGACCCATGTCTATATATGAATCTTGGGGCAAGATTTTGATATGAATTTCGACCAAAAAATCGGTGTTCAGATTTAAATGCCAGATTATTCTAGAAGGAAAACCATGGACAAAAAGTCCAACCTCGTAAAAATCGGATGAGATTTGGCCGAGTTATGGGGCTGAGAAGTTTATAACCATGTCTAGAGACGAATCTTGGGGTAAGATTTTGACGTGAATTTCGACCAAAAAATCGGTGTTCATGTTTTAATACCAGATTAATCTAGAAGGAAAACCATGAACAAAACGCCCAAACTCGTAAAAATCAGATGAGATTTGGCCGAGTTATGGGGCTGAGAAGTTTAGAGCCATGTCTAGAGACGAATCTTGGGGTAAGATTTTGACATGAATTTCGACCAAAAAATCGGTGTTCAGATTTTAATGCCAGATTAATCTAGAGGGAAAACCATGAAGAAAAATCCAAACTTCGTGAAAATCGGAAGAGATTTGACCGAGTTATGGGGGTGGTCATATTTTACCCATGTCTATATATGAATCTTGGGGCAAGATTTTGACATGAATTTCGACCAAAAAATCGGTGTTCAGATTTTAATGCCAGATTAATCTAGAAGGAAAACCATGAACAAAAAGCCAAACCTCGTAAAAATCAGATGAGATTTGGCCGAGTTATGGGGGTGGTAAGTTTTGACCCATGTCTATATATGAATCTTGGGGCAAGATTTTGATATGAATTTCGACCAAAAAATCGGTGTTCAGATTTTAATGCCAGATTAATCTAGAAGGAAAACCATGGACAAAAAGCTCAACCTCGTAAAAATCAGATGAGATTTGGCCGAGTTATGGGGGTGGTAAGTTTTGACCCATGTCTATATGAATCTTGGGGCAAGATTTTGACATGAATTTCGACCAAAAAATCGGTGTTCAGATTTTAATGCCAGATTAATCTAGAAGGAAAACCATGGACAAAAAGCCCAACCTCGTAAAAATCGGATGAGATTTGGCCGAGTTATGGGGCTGAGAAGTTTAGAGCCATGTCTAGAGACGAATCTTGGGGTAAGATTTTGACATGAATTTCGACCAAAAAATCGGTGTTCAGATTTTAATGCCAGATTAATCTAGAGGGAAAACCATGAAGAAAAATCCAAACTTCGTGAAAATCGGATGAGATTTGACCGAGTTATGGGGGTGGTCATATTTGACCCATGTCTATATACGAATCTTGGGTAAGATTTGGACATGAATTTCGACTAAATACGAATCTTGGGGCAAGATTTCGATATGAATTTCGACCAAAAAATCGGTGTTCAGATTTTAATGCCAGATTAATCTAGAGGGAAAACCATGAAGAAAAATCCAAACTTCGTGAAAATCGGATGAGATTTGACCGAGTTATGGGGCTGAGAAGTTTAGAGCCATGTCTAGAGACGAATCTTGGGGTAAGATTTTGACATGAATTTCGACCAAAAAATCGGTGTTCAGATTTTAGTGGCAGATTAGTCTAGAAGGAAAACCATGAACAAAAAGCCCAACCTCGTAAAAATCAGATGAGATTTGGCCGAGTTATGGGGCTGAGAAGTTTAGAACCACTAGAACACACAGCTGTATAAGAAAATGTTTCTACAACTATAGCTATTTGAGTTTCCGACCTAATTGTGGGAAGTCATTACGTGAGCTGCCAAAGTAGAATACACTCTCTCGCTCTCTTCTTCGCTCTCTCTCTCTCTCCCTCTCTTTCTGCAATAAATGGAACATTAGGCAAATTTTGATTCATGCCGCTTGAATTGAAACAGCCCAATTAGATGCCGCAGTAGGCTTTGAACTAATTAAACAAAGCTTACCTGAATCACTGATTAGCACTAGTCAAGCGGGCAGCTGAGATGGCCGCAGGCGATGTCAGACGCAGGGCGTTAGGGAGGTGCCATCATTACACACACGCTATACATAATTATACCAGCGGGAATCATGGCAAGGCCTCTCTCACACACACACACACATACACAAGCAGCTGTGTGTGTGAGCCTTAGGCGAATCGCTTCTGCGAAAATTATGCCAGGCCGGACCGCCTGCTGAGCCAGTGACAAGTGCAGGTGGGCGGCAATTAGGAAGCGATAAAGTAAAAAGTGAACACGCTATCGAGAGGAGGCGGAAGCAGCTACGACAAGAAGTAAAATGGAGTTAAAGAAGCCGTTAACAGCAGCTCCTTTTGCTGTGTGCGACAGCTGCCAAGCGTAGCAGACGAGGACGTTGATGACATCGAGGACATTGTAGCTAAATTGAATGTTTTATTTTCGATTTCTTTTTTGTTCCATTTTTCTTCCATGTATGTGTCCCATCGATAATCAACGGCGTTGCGTGCCACATGTTGCAGCCTTGTACAGGATATTATTATTTCTCGTGAGGCTCCTGGCTGCAACGTCGCCGGGACTTGGGTGGATAATAATAATGTGCGACCTGTAATGATTGCGATAGCAGAAGCGTCTGTTAAAGCCATCTCTTGATTTATTCAGTGTACTCGTTCAGTTGTACAGTATAGAATCAATTATGAGGGTGATCACTCGATCTTCTGTTTTGGTTTTGTACTTCCCATAGAACAAATAGAGCTGGCCACGGTACTCGCCAGGATATAAAAACTGGTGCGTCATCGTGGAGCCCAATTTCCAATTGTGTAGATAGTAGTAGCCCACCTCCACCGGGCAGTTGTGCATGAAGTTGCTGTACTCTAGCATGCTCTTGAACCAGCTCTTAAGCAGTCCATCCTTGACATTACTCACTATGGCACATACATCGAAATGATGGCTAAAAATAGTTTGAAAGTTCTTGGCATTGGCCACTCGCAGTTGGTAGTCGACGTGGGCTTTGAAGCCTCGCTGAATAGGTCTGGCCAATTCCATATCCATGTTAAGGGTTTTATTCGCAATTGAAACAGTAAAGTTCTTGAAATATTTCGTATTGAAAGTATAGTTGGTGGCAAGAAACTCGACATGACGTTCCTGCAGAAACATAAAATTGGTGGTATTTCCAGTAACTGGCTGTGCAAGACTCACCGCTCGACTGGGATACACATTTACACACAGCACCAGGCCAATTATTAGCAATGCTGAACAACAATAAAAGCGCGTCTTTAGCATTTCGACATGTACAGCGACCAAATTGTAATAATACGAACAATTTAAAAATTACTCAATAGATTTACCCATCTGTTTAAATAACCAAAAAATCAATTAGATACACGCGGCTTCAAATAATTATTTATTCAGCTCTCTACCAAATTGTTGCTTGGATAAGCATCAGCTCGTTATGAAACGATCATTAATGCACTTGTTCCCGTCATTGAATTTTGATGACCTCCACACGCTAATAGCCGGCATGTGAGGTACAGTCATAATCAAATTAATGTTTCACTTTTTAAACTGATTGACCTTTCTTAGCTAAAACATATCCTAAGGAACATAATGCTAAAAAAACTTATCATGTATACTTAAAATCTAACCGAGCATTCCAACTCTTTATCAAAACATTCTGTAGAATCATGGCTTAAAGCTAGTTTGCTCTTCCCCGCTCTGGGCTTCTATCCTAACTAGTTTTAGTTTTATAACTAACTTAATGGAAAAATTGCTCGAAAATAAATATTTTAATTTTATTTATTCTAAACACAACAAAGAACTGACCAGAATCTTAGTATTATCGGATTACTTCACCATTATCCTTCAAAGGAATTGGTTGAAAATTGTGTTTGGCATAAAAAAATCCAGTTTCGCATACAAATTATATTTTTATAAGAGTAAGGATTAATCAGAAACTTTAGAGGCTTGAGATCTTTCTTGCTGTGAAAAGTAACTTTATGCCAAACACAGTTGTTTCATCCTAACCCAATGTTTAGTTAGGTGCTGTTTAGTTCGGGAACTAGGGTTTTGTGAATCGGAAGTTTGAGAGTTAGGATAAGCACTGTTAAGGTTTTAGCAAAGCCAACAGAATGCTGTTTATAATATGAAGTAAAATTGGTTTCAAACGAGAATCTGCTGCATAATTATTACATTGGCTCTTACCGATTCGCGTTGCTTGCCTTCAGGATTTGGTATAGTAAGAATAATAATTAAGAAAAAATTAATTCATTTTTAATATTGCATAAGTGGTTAAGTCTATTACGAATTCCTCCTGCTTCGATTTGAGTTTTCCATAGAAAAAGTGACAAGTGATACGATAATCGCCCGCAGACAAATACTGAGGCACCAGTTGTGGATCCACCTTCCAATTGTGCAGAAAATAATGGCCCTTGGTTACTGGGCAGCTGTGCACGAAGTTGCTACGATCCCACATACTCTGGAACCAGGCCTTGAATATGTTTCTTTTTATCGTCGAAACAACCCCACAAGTGTCCATTGTGTGGGCAAAGACGCGTTGATATTGTTTCGTTCTGCTCAATCTGATCGCAAAGTCGACGTGCACATTATAGCCACGATCAAAAGTCTTTTTGGTGATCATATCGAGGTTGATCGTGTTGTTAACGATGCTCATGGTGAAGTTATCGAAGTACTTTGGGTTGTATTTGCACCCGCCAGAGTGGATAGTTACACTAGACTTCATTGAATGTTCATTCAATAAGAAATGTGATATTTGTGGATATACTATACTCACGGCTACCGCAACTGGCAGATCGCAGATCAAACATAATAAAATTATGTAAAGGCCGATTATGCAGTGTATGAACACTTTCATTTCGATTGCAAAATTCAAATGGCGTTTCAAAAGTTGTTTCTCATTAGTAACAAAATGTGGCGCTAAGCTAATTTTAATTGATATTCACAATAAGCTAATGATTGTTAGTCAGCGACATGGAAAATGTAACAAATTGAATTTGTTTTAAACATAACAAAGCTTTCTTTGCAGTTGAAAATATCTAGATAATGCTATTTGGAGCATATATATTTATGTAATGTTATAGTTTTGTTTATTGATGAAACTGATTCATTTTTAAAGCATTTCAATCAATAGGCTCCATAGGTATACTACACTCAAATTGGATAAACACAAATACCAGAACAATGAATTATACAGTACTAAAATATTTATTTTATTTCAACCTCCACCACACAACCAATTATAAAATCCTTACTTTTGTTTTGACCTTTACTCTGAATCATATTAAATTTGAGCCGATAGAAGCCAGGAAACAAAAATGAAGGAATTTCAAGCTTATGCACTATATAGTCTTTTATATAGTAGTGTTTCGGTTGAACTGGGCAACGTCTTTCGAAATTACCACATGACATAAATGTGGAGAACCATTTTTTCAAAAGGTTGCTATTTTGCTTGGCCAACATGCTGCACAAGTCCAAAGAGAATTGATAAAAGCTTTGAAAGGCTTCCGACTTTAGCTTGCGTGTGAAAAGGAACACATGTACGCGTAAGCCTGAATGTATTGTCCTCAGTAAGTCCATGTCCATGCTTAGCTTATTATTTTTTAAAATCAAAGATATGTTTCCAAAGTAGTTGGGATTATATTCGTCACAAGTTGGTGCTTTTAAAATCGAAAATGTGGATTTCTAGAAATGGTTTCGAATTTTAAAACAGCCTTTTTCATTTTTTATATATTTACCGTATAGATAAACGGAATACAGCTTAAAACCATTATGAATGCTATTTGAGCGTTCATTTTTGTTGGTCTCTTGCTGTTTATGAATACTTTGATACAACAAATGAATTCACTGAAAACAGAGCATTCATTGAAGTGTGTTTTGCGTAATTATGTGGAAGGCAATCTGCGTAATAAGAGTAATAATACTTAAATATATAAGCATTTGTCAATTAAGATAAATGTGTAATAACAGATTTTGTTAAAACAACCAAAAATTGTTTTATATTGGGCTAATTCAGAGTACTTTGAAAAAAAAATGTACTTCAGTAAATAAAATTATGTAAAAACTAGTATAAATTACCGGGAGTAGTCTGTGTATGTGCTTGCCAAGAAACTCATTACTGCTCTCGTTCCTGATATCAATTTATATTTATGGTTTTCTTATTTCTAAATAGCAAAATTTAATTAATAGACATACAAATGTAAAAAAAATCTGCCGTATTTGAACCAGCAACCTCCTGCTCGCTAGTCCGACGCACAGAAACTTTAGCTTCTTGTATGGCCACATCTTATTGCTCACTTTCGACTTCTCGAGCAGCTCATGCCACAGAGGGCCACAGAGAAAACCACGGCCCATGCCTATCTCCTTTTAGGTATAAGTACACACAAAGTAAGTAATTTACAAATGCATTTATTTTACTTCGATTTCCACCATACAACCAATTACAAAGTCCATACTTTTATTTTTGCCCTGACCTTGAAACATATTAAATGTTAAACGATAAATGCCAGGAAACAAAAATGAGGGAATTTCGAATTCATGAATTTTAAAGTCTTTCATAAAGTAATAATTTGGTTGGACTGGGCAATGTTTCTTAAAATTTCCATATGCGTAAAATGTCGAAAACCACTTTTTGAAAATATTGCTCTTCTGTTTGGCTAACATATTGCACATGTCTAAGGAATACTGATAGAAGCTTCGAAATGCTTCCGAATCTAGCATGCGTGTAAAGAAATACATATTTATGCGCAAGCCCGAATGCAACGCTCTGATTAAATCCATGTCTATGCTTAGTTTATCATTTCTTAAAAGCAAAGAGAAGTTTCCAAAAAAGTTCGGACTATATTCGTCGCAAGTTGGTGATTTTAAAAGTGAAAATGTGGATTTCTAAAAATAGTTGGGAATTATACAGTTGACCCGTTTTTATTTGTGTATAGTTACCATATTGGTGTACGGCATTAAGCTTAAAAGAATGATAAGTACTTTTGGAACGTTCATTTTTTTTGCACTTTTGCTGTGTATGTATACTTTGATACAAAAAATGAACTCACCAAAAAACACAGCACTCATTGAAGTGTGTGCTGCCCATATATCTAGTTGGAAATTATTTAGGTAACTTAATGGATTAGTAATTATAATATTTAAGTACTGGCCAATTCAGACAAAAATGCTGCAAAATTAGTTCGTAATTGCCCAAATGGTAGTTTCAGTAATGTCGATATGAAAACAAACTAATTTTAGTAAATAAAATATGTACAATGGAAAATTCTCCCGGTTTCAGTTATAAAGTACGTTTCACCTTCCTTTATGTACATTTTTTGACTCAATAGCATAAGCCAAAAACGTCTGCTTTATGTTATTAAAAAATACATATACATATACATATTATTTTTACTAAAAATATTTTTTAGCTAGTTCGCAAAAGAGAAACAGAAAAAAGTTGTTCATAAAGGAATCTATATGGACGGACCTCTTCCAAGTTTCATAGACATAGCTTTAAGACTAGTCTGCAATAGAAACAGACAGGCGACAATGAGTATATAATGTCGTCTATTGATACACTTCTAGAATATTTTTATTTTCAGGGGACGGTAGTTTCTTCTCTGATGAAAAAATTAAAAAAATATATTAAACACTTTTGAATGTTCAGTTTAATTCGGAACCTCGTCATTAAAAAGTGTGATGCAGTGTGTGAAGAAATGTGAAGCCTCCCAGCAACAGTTTCATTAGATGAATGATACAATTTTTAAATGAATCTCTCAAAAATACACATTCTTTTTCTTTATCTCTTTATCGCGATGTAGCCAAAAAACAGGCGTAAAAGTATTTTTTTTTTTACTTCAAAAAGAGTAAATGTGAATTAGTCCAATCATGTTATCTGTCCGTCTGTACGCATCTGTTTTCGAAAATGATGCCAAGACCTAGCAAGCCTGAGAATTTAATAGCGTCATATCGATCGAAAAGATTGTTAACAATACCTGCAAGGCTTTTAAACGAAATACTTCATGACGGTAAGGGTTTTCCTGGATGATCAGATACCCGAGCAGGCATAAAGCCGTGTATGCAGATTCGGTATTTGTAACGTAGAAACTAATCGCAGTTTTCGTACAAAATATTGACTTTTGATTGACTGATCTCTCCGATTGTTGTGTATTATAAAGGTGAGCTAGGTTTTGGCTGTTGAGCTCCTTTAAATGTTAAAGCCTAATCGTGAGCGTCATAGTCAAACGCGGCTGCAAGTATGCGGCATTTATTTGCTCAAATGGGCAAACAGAGAGTCAGTCAGTCAGTCGGCTGGCAACGTTCATCCAAAATGCAGTCAACGTGTCTTTGTTTATTTAGCGTAGCACGTTGGAGCCGCATCTCGTATTTATGTACACGAGCCGCACTGCAGAGAACAAATGCACGTAATTCTGCTTACTTCGTAACATTGCAACAATGCACGGGACCCCCGAAGTATTTTTTAGGATTTTTTTCTCCTGCGGTTGCGGTAGTCTGCTGGTCAGACAGCTAGACAGATAGACAGACAGAGAGACAGACAGACAGAGATGATGCGCCGGCGAGCGACCTCTGGCCTTAATCAGAATCGGTCCCGTAAAACTAAGGCGCCATTTTCAATTGTAGTTGCGTCGACATTGACGTCGGGCGTATCCTTTTGAGCAAAACAAAAAATAAAAAAATGTCCTGCTGGGTATTTTTGCTAGGTCTGCTTTGCTTTCACTCTGCGCCTGCATATTGCATTTATTTACATAGGCCTGGCTGGCTGCCTGGCTGGATGCCTGACTGGCTGACTTTTGATTTAAAGCTCTTGGCTCCTAACTCAATTCCCTTTCGACTTTGCAGCTGTCATTCCACCAGGTGCTTACGAGTATGTTTGTAGCGCGTGTGTGTGTGTGTGTACGTACGTGTGTGCGTTGCTCTTCCCTTCACATATATTTGCACATGCATTTACGTGCTCTGCCCCTTTGTGCTGTGCAAATAGGCACAGCGGTTGCAGCTTTTAGCCTCCAACATAATCCGTGACCATCATCCAATGTGCGCCCCAGCTTCAGAGTCTGTTCCATGTGACCTTTCTGACTTGAAGCTGAAATTATGTGGGCTGTAGCAAAAAGCAGCAAATGTATGTGGTTCATTTTGAGTTAAAGTAGTCAAGTGTTAAAGCATTTATAAAATGTAGGTTTCATAACAAGTGCAAAAAAACTGTTGAAGAATACAGCAATATTTTAATATTCGTAATGTTTTCTTTAATCAATCAATTGAGAATTTTATAGTTTACCCTGAAGGAAAATGGCTTATTACAGTTTAGTATGCATATAATAGAAAACAATTACTGAGATGTATAATATATTATTTATTTTACGTAATTAATTATTATACAAAAAAATAATATAATAACTAACGGGAGGGAGTGCTAGCTACTGAGGGTGTATAATATAAAAACCAATATTTTGATGACGCTTTTATCAAGTATTCACTGGCAAACTGATTAAGATGGATTGAGCATACTCAACTGCTCTCAAATAGGAACTGAGGCATCAATTGAATTCTCAAGCACTTGTCAACACTGCTTGTCAAACGCAGAGGTAAATTTTCATCAAAAAAAAATAAAAATTGTGTACCATTAAATTTATAATTTTCGTGAAAAATTAATAAGAAAAA